ATATTTTTTGTATTACATAGAGTTTATTTATGGTTTTTTTGTAATGAAGTAAGTACTGTTGACGCGTGGCTTTGAGATAGCATCACAGGACCACTGAGGTACCCACGTTATACGGTATCCGCACCAGCAATCCAATCTGTTGCCTTATTGTATTTATATTCTTGTACATTGTAGATATTCACGAGCTTTGTTTTAGGATATTTGACAATAATTTTCGGAAATTTAGATTCTACAATTATACACAACACGATGGCTATTAAGTACTGGTGATTGTAACTCATATCGAGAGAAACTATATACAAAGAAGCAAGGACAAGAGCAAGTGCATCGGCCGAATCTCACATCTCCAGCCTACGAGAGGAGTACTAACGTGTCTGCCCACTTGAATCGATGGTAAAGTCGTTCTCCCCAATTTAACGACTGTATATAAGACCAATGATAGATTGTGGTAGTGCCCGACACGTCGCTCGGGCGTAGATCCATCGTGATAACGATAGTAGCCAGCCCAAAGTACATACGTATTTGATGAGGATGTTCTGAGCAACACCAGAGTAGGCAGATCATCGCCGTTTGAGTGTAGCATAAGACGAATTGTCGTCTTCCTGGGAAGAGACGCCTACCGTCCTGCGTCGGACGTCTACTTGTAAGCTTCATGTGTCTTGTGTGTGTACTTATGACAAAAGGGAGGGTAGGTTTTCTCCTATTTTCGAGAGGATACCAAGGTAGGGTGACATAGAAGACAGTGAAGTTCCCTAGCTATCGCATGCATAAATCAAGGAGTGTTTACGTTATACTTTCATGTGATATTTGTCTTATGAGATTTTTTACTAATTCACGGGACCACTAAGACGCAGTATGTGTAATAACCGAAGCGTATTTATCATATATCGGCTCATTGCACCAACCACCGTGTAGTAACAGGTATGAGTGCTTACGGTAATTGGTATTAATCTTCGGGTGACTACCTCGTAACCTGAGGTGATATTTTTTTATTAAAACACCAGAGGTCTAGGTTTTTGTTCTTTCTAACAGAAAAATAATCGTTAGATCAGTCGACTAATCGATGAAATAATCGCCCGATTAATCGTTTTCAAAATAATCGTTTCCCCCCAGCACTAGTAAACAGTATTTGATTCTGTATTTGTCTCTTTTCAGTGCACGGTGCAGGTGAAGCTGGAGTTGGGCCACAGAGCCCAGCTGAGGAAGAAGGTGACATCAGAAGGCTTCACCCACGACTGGATGGTGTTTGTCCGAGGGCCAGAAACCGGCGACATCCAGCACTTTGTAGAGAAGGTCGTGTTCCGCCTCCACGATAGCTTCCCCAAACCCAAAAGAGGTGAGACTAGTGGATATCACATAGCCGGGGAAAAAACATCATATTTCTTGTCTTTGTTATTTCTAGCTTTTTTATAAATGTGTCTTCACTGTAAATCCCTAAGCAAATTAGATCCAATTAATGATTGATTTGTATGTTTCACAGGGTTTTGTGTTTAAGTAAACAACATCTTAAACTGGGCGAAGTGGACAGCATTTTCATTATCATAATAATTGTGAAAAAAGGTTCTGTTTTCAATCTTCAGGTTATTGTTCCTCACATTGAATTCATGGTAGTTTCTTGTTTGCCATGACATGTTGTTCTCAAATTAATATGACATAACTTGTTTTCATTTTAGAGAGAGACTTTTATTAATTAATTCAGTTATTAGAGCTCAGTCTATTGATAAATGAAATGTGAGTAATCGAATTGCTGCCGTTGGCATGCATGTGTCTGTCTGCAGTATGCAAGGAGCCGCCGTACAAAGTGGAGGAGTCGGGCTACGCAGGCTTCCTCATGCCTATTGAGGTTTACTTCAAGAACAAGGTGAGATAGACTGGACACTGATAGTAATCTGTGTAGTGACTGTCTTTGCAGAAAGGATGAGTTAAATGAGTTGCGAATTGAATATGGTTTGTATTTGTACATTGATTTATACATGTTGTGGGTGGTACATGATGGAGTCTGCAATTATTATGGATGTAGTACTTGTGAAGTGCACGGACACATTTACAAACTGAAGAAGGTTGAGCATAGACTGCCTGTTATATGCTGGAATCCAGTCATGTTAACCAGGTTAACTCGTTAACTTGATTAAAGAAAACTGGTTGTTCCTTTTTACATGATGACTCTGAAATCAGGTTATTGTCCAAAGGATAGAATAATCTGATTACTTTAAGTGCATGTAGATTGTATAAGTGCTGTGCAGCGATGGTTTAAAATCCTTCTTGGACCATTTGTTTTGTGAATGGCTTGATTCTGGAGGTCCGCACTAACACACTGTCCTGTAGCAGTTATTATACATGCACTTAGCCAATCAAAGAGCACCATTGTGTTGGTTAAACTTTTATGAGAGGAGCATTTCTCTCTTTAAGTGAGGGAAATAAAACGACCACATACTATTATGCCGGCACCTTTAAGTCTCCATGAGCCATTAAAATGAATGATGAAAGAAAGAAAGACCCACTTAACTCTCATTATAAGATAAGGACGGTGCTTAAGAGAAATGCGCACATTAGTGGACCTGTCTCATGCAGGTCTTTATAATATTAAACCCCTGGACAGGTTACATCCTCCTCCTACGTGCTAATACACATTGGACAAGTCTGTAAAAAGATCAAGGTAATACTTAAAAGACTAGAGAAGTTAATGTCAGCAGCCATTAATCCATCTGATTTAATTAAGACGTTTTTGTTTTTCAAGCATGTCTCGATGCCTTTTCTGCAGCTGTAATTGCCGACTTCTCTCCAGCGTTTCTCAGGAATGTTAGTTGATTGTTATCAGCACGCCGGCTCCAGCTACGTCTATCTGTTTTATTGACTTCCTGGTAGGGCTGCTCGATTATGGCAAAAATCATAATCTCGATTATTTGGGTCAATAATTGATATCACGATTATTAAAAACGATTATCCATTTCCTTTGAAAACATCAATTTATTGGAGAAAAGAAAATGTGAACAGTATGTTTGTAACAGTTGATTACCCTGAACTCTAAGTATAATTCAACTGAAAAACCAATACAAAAAATTAATAAAAAAATAAAAAAAGTAATAATAAAAAAATAATAGTTTTATTTCGATTACGATGTTTTCGTNCTTGCTTCTAGATATATATGCGACGCTAGGGATGATCTCGCGCGCGATCTTGTGACGATTCTCTCTGACCAATCAGCAGTCGGGAGTGTTGACGTCACTAGTTCAGCCCTGGCCCTGGCCTGATAGAACCACGATTTTATGGGGCCGGATAAAGAGGGAAAAAGTACCCGCTAGCCGGTGCTACGCTATATGGAAAGGCCACCAAAAACTGGCGTGGCCGCTTGAGCACGATTTAAGGACGCTTAAACGGGGCTACCCGCTGCAGTGGAAATGCGCCATAAGTCAATATAATGAGATATTAAGTCAATATAATGAGATAACTAAGTCAATATAATGAGATAACTAAGTCAATATAATGAGATATCTAAGTCAATATAATGAGATATTAAGTCAATATAATGAGATAGCTAAGTCAANAGCCCTGGCCCTGGCCTGATAGAACCACGATTTTATGGGGCCGGATAAAGAGGGAAAAAGTACCCGCTAGCCGGTGCTACGCTATATGAAAAGGCCACCAAAAACTGGCCTGGCACGATTTAAGGACGCTTAAACGGGGCTACCCGCTGCAGTGGAAATGCGCCATAAGTCAATATAATGAGATATTAAGTCAATATAATGAGATAACTAAGTCATTATAATGAGATATTAAGTCAATATAATGACTTACAGGATTTTTTTTTTTTTTTTTCTGTGGCGCAAACAGGCTTCCATATTAAGTAGATGGGCGTGACTTCACCACTCTATTATTTTCTGCCTCACTCATGAGAGTAACAGCTGGCGAAATTACAGCCTCGCCTACTGATTTCAAATGTGTGCTCTAAAATGATATTTACAAATGACTATTATCATTATCTTAAGCAAGACAATAAATGGCAAAGATATGTAGAAAATAAACGTATTTGAGATACGTTCATAATGAACATAACGTGGGAGAAAATACGTTTCTAGCTAAACGTAATTGAGAATACAGTTTAGTTCTGTGGGAACTTAATTTTTAGGAGTCAGGGTTATTTTCAGAGGAGAAGAGAGAGAGGAGAGAGAGGAGAAGTTAAAACTAAAATCGTCACAACCCTATCAACAGAGAAGCATTTCCCCCCTGGAGAAGAGTAAGAATTTAATATAAAATAGTTTACCTGGAACTGAATTTAAATGAGTTTTTCCGCCCCCAATTTGGGATTTATTACTCAATTTGACAAGGGAAAAACATTTCTTTAAAACACAGAATACAGCCCTGTTGTTCCAATCTATTCTCTCTTGTCTTTTTTCCTGTAAATGTCTCATCTGCTCTTCATAGATCCAGGCTCACTGTCTGCATCGACAAAGGCTCTGTGGGTGCTGAAGGAGAGCACAACTAAAAGATAATGATAGAGATACGTGGAACATGTGGATGCAAAAAGGCTCTTCATGTCTATTGAGCATTTTTACACACAGCATTCAGAGTTATTAATCATCAAAATCTTCTGACACACCAAGAAGGATTTATTGACCTTCTGGTCTTTCTCTAGTTGTTAGCTGTTCCAAACATACTTCAGGTTCATGCAGTGAGATTATGTGTGAAGCTGCGGCTACTTCAACTTTATTAAATAATGTGCCTCGGGATAATCAAAATCTGTGGTCAGCAGTTTCAGATCCCACCTAAAGCGCAACCTGGGCTGGAGCTAGCGATTTGCTACACAAAAATCCTTTAAGGTGTTACTTAGTCTAATAAGAAAACAAATCTGCAACACACTTAAATGGTAATCAATACTGACAACATTAACAGAGAGCCCAGTAAAGAATGTTGTTCCTTGAAACAGTCAATTACTTTTCTAAAGTAAAACAAAGCCTCCCACATATTTTACACAGCCAGCCTTTGAGACCATACTCCATCCGTAACTGTTTGGGAAGGCAGGGTGGACAGTCACACTCACGCACAAAACTGCAAAACAAAGTCAATCATTCTTCCAGAATGACTCCCCCCTCCCATCAGTTGGATCACAGAAGCACTATCTAAGGATGAAAAAAAAAACCTCCTGCCCTCCTGCCCCTCCATCTAAAGCTCCTTGCTTGCAAAATCGTCTTGTTTCAAAAGCAATTTTTTCACCCACTGACGACATGTAATATGCACACCTTAGATCCTTTGTACAGATCTTTAAAATATGTCTGTGGATTGTTGATTTCCCTCTACATTTGATGTCCCTGTATTGATCTCACCCTCCATGCTGTAAGGCAAGGCAAGTTTATTTATGTAGCACCTTTCAACACAAGGCAATTCAAAGTGCTTTACAAGAAAATGGCATTTAAAAACAGTCATTAAAAAGAAAAGATAATAAAAATAAACATTAAAAGAAAAAATACATGATTAAAAGTTACAGCACAGTTTAAGATATGAATAGTTCAATTAAAAGCAGCGGCAAAAAGAAAAGTCTTCAGCCTGGATTTAAAAGTAGTAAGAGTAAGAGAATTAGCGAAAGCAAATTCCACCAAACGTCGGTCGTGTGGTCAGTCACACACACCACGTCCTGTTTCAAACACAGACAGGCACGTACACTTTCTGATTCATATCGCTTTGCTATTAGTGCCAGCTCATAATTCATATGCACACTAAATGTCAAATAATAATTATGTTTTAATTATAAAGTTCTAATTTATGCAAAGCTCATTTCACTATAATGCTTTATTTTAGGACCATTTATTGAATCACAGGACGATGGCTGATTAACACTTGATGTGAATAGGGACTGCCTTTCTACCTTATACGTTGAATGCATAAGATATTTGGTATTTTCCTTAGTATTCTTGTGTTTCAAACCTCAAACTGTGGCCGTCAGTCCTTTTCTGCACTAAATAATTATTTCCAGACTGAAGCTGGCGAGGTGACCTGTCTCAAATGTTACACCGTCAACATCTTGACGATTACGTGATGTGGTTATTTGCAGGTTTATACAAATGAGCCCACCTGGTGTTTCTAAATTTCATTTGTGAGATAAAATGCAAATGTTATTCTTTTGTGCGTTATGGTGAGACTGTGCCTGTAATTGAATATGGAAAAGCAACTGGGGCAGTCACTATAGATACTCATTGTTGGGTGATAATTGTTGTTTCCGGTCACATCACACTGAACCCTTCATTGTCCTAATGTAAATGATGCGTCAATGTTTGAAAAATGACCGTCACTTGTTTACAAGCAGATCACGAGATACAAATGTTCTCCTGGTTCTGTTTTTCTTTTTCCTCTACTTTACATCACAATGGTTGTCCCATGATTTAAATTAAATTCATGTGCACTAATGTGCCCGTTTTGATTGCTATCAGTCCACATCGGCCATGACAGCTTATTCATGTTTGCTCATTTATTCAGCGTAACTGTTCAAGCAAATTATGCTGCTGCTCACTCACCAAACATCTCTTCCACATTACACTCAGTCATTTTGACATACCTGTTGAAAAAGTAGTTAATTGTTAAATACATCCTATTATTACAAGTCTCAACTATATTACAGTACACTTACAGTACATAGAGAACAAGTAGTGGACTATATTTAAGTATAATGATTTCATTTTCTTCTCCTTTATACATTTACTCAACTACATTGATGGGAAAAATATTCAACTTTTTTTTCTGTGAGATATTTTTGACATCTTTAGTTATTAAGTAGGTAAGTAACTGAAACACCACACGGGGGATTATGAGACAACACTTTATACAGTAGTTATTTTGTCTTTTTGACGTTGTTGTCTTGTATATCTTTAT